GGCGCTCCCACGGCAGCCGCGCGCTCTCCCCACCCTACCATTAACTCAGTATCCTCTATTCTCCACCCTCCTTGACAAATACTGAGTCGGGAACAGGCACTGTTTTGGAGAGGTTTGTAGGGGGTCTTCCATTCTCCTTTTCCTCGTCTTCATCACGTCTCACCCCGCAAAATCACTATTCACTCCAAGATCTCCGTGCCTGGCCCACGCTGGGGATGAGCGAAAGCGGCAGGGTGGTGCTTGTGCTGGTAGGTAGGACTGGTCATGTTTTGTTCTGCGCTCAAAGCCCAGCAGCCTCACCCCTCCCTGGGCTCTGGGCTCAGAAACGCACTCAGATCAGCCACTGCCTCCTTCCTTTTCCCCTGTTCGTGTATTTTAAGTGGCTGGGTGTCACGCTGAGTCACCAGCTGAGCGATGGAAGAGGCTTTGGCAGAGAACAAGCCTCAGTTTTGATAGTTCAACTGTGGGAAAAATCAGTGCAATTTCCTAATTACAGCAGTGATGGGAACAAAGCAGATTTGTTAGAGGGCTGCATGGCTGAGCTCAGGAATGTGACCTTTGCTGGCTCTTAGTACTCTACGGGAGCTTTCAGTGTATGGTGGTGCTTGGCAGTGGCTGAAGTGCTTTACTAGCAGCTGCTCTGATGTAGGAGAGTCAGACTTTCACCTTGTGAGTTTGCAGGGGAAGCCAGACCCGCTTCCAGATTGATTTGTAGTGTGGAAAGAGCGTTAGGAAATCATCGTGGTCCCCAGGTTACTCTCTTTTGCTATTTCCCCACACACGTGTGCTTGCTTACCTGTAAGTGGAATGTGTTTTTTCAGTCTTAGGTGAAACTGTGGACATATACTGTGTTTCTTTGTAAAGCTGTCGCTGCAAAGTAACTTACTGTCTTCAGCTGTCTGCTATCACCTGGCCAGGTTTTGCCTACAATATCTGCTTTTCAGAGCACGTGCTTCCAGTGAACAAAAGGGCTGCTACAGAAAGGCTGGTCCTGGGCTGTACCCAAGTCTGAAGTGAGTCATGGCCTGCACAGTGTACAATTAGGAAGGGGAGGAAACAAGTGGAGACCGGTCCCAGGGATGCGTCTCTGCCTTTGAATCAGGAAGAGGTAATGCTCCTATGTGAGCCTGTCAGTACAGTGAGGCTGGAGATACACAAGAGTGGCTAGAGGGTCTTAAGACTGGAATAGTAGCAGATCAAATTCAGTG